CGAGCCCTTCCGCTCACACCCCGTTTCTGACACTGACTGCTATTACCCCCCCCCCCTCCTCCACATTTCCACACTCAGCCTGTGTTTTAAGGCGTACTTTAATCGATTTATATTATCGCTGACGTGTTTTTACTTCTACCCCGTTCCCATATAATTGTACTGGCCCGACGAGAATTTATCGAAAGCTACGTATGCTCGCCACCTCGTCTTCTGATTACTACTATGGCAATTTTACGTAACTCTAAATTTGTCTTTCACACGAGCTCTGTCCCCACTGATCATCTGAGTGAAGATATGATCTTCGCCAGCTTACATTATCAGCACACAGCGGACCGAAATCTACTGCCTATAATGCAATTCTCACCCTCAGGGTTTTCTCGTTCTTGACAGGGCATAAGTCAATCTATTTGGCACTCAACGCACGCCATCCGCGAATTCTAACCAGCTTGGCATCGACTAACGAAAGACGCACGACTTCTTTTTTAGTAATTGCCCCCCCCCCCGCTCTCTGCCAAATGTCGTCTAATCGAGTCTGCTGCCTGCTGAAATCGGCCAATCAGAACCCTTAGGTCGTCAGAGCGTGCGTGCGTGCGTGTGTAGTGTGATGTTACAATAAAAGGCAGTCCGTCGATCCTGTTCTGGTTATTGCTCTAAATGGCGCTCCCACAAGCAGAACTATTCGAAGACCAGTTTCCCCTGATCCAAAGCTGTCCTGCACTGAACGAAATCCGCCTTGCCCAAGAAATTAAAGATCTGACGATAGAGGTAGGTTCCCTCACCGTGGACATTTGTGTGTGTGCGCGCGTTTTAGGTAAAGGACGGCTGTGTTCTTTACGTCCATCGAATAATACTAGCTGCTCGTATTCCTTCTTTGCGAGCGGCTCTCTGTGGACCCCTCGGAGAGGGGAATTCGGGACTAAGATGGCCAACAGTGCCTCTCAGGTCGGTTCTCTAATTTTGTTTATACACTTTCACAGCCTCGCAGTCGCACTCGTCCGCTATGTTTACACTGGTCAGGTGGAGCTGACACAAGCTAACGTTAGGGGGATGGTTACGCTTGCAAGAATGCTGAAGCTCCCTAACCTGTTTAAATGGGGAGTGACATTCATGACCAAGGGGTACGCATTTTCCGATTATTCCTGTCGAACTGCCTGCTCTAAAGAGTCCATTTAGGAAATCTACCGGCAACCTGGGACTTTGCCAGGTCTCTGAATGCTGAATTACTGGTGAATACCTGCATCAGTCTGATGAAGGAGCAGTTTGAGCACTTTGTACCGACTGACCTCTTTGTTCGCTTACCAGCCGAAACCGTGTTGACTTTGCTTCGAAGCGAAGACCTATCTGTAGGATCTGAGGAGCAAGTTATTGCGGCTATTGCACGGTGGGCGGGTGTTGGTGACGGAGCTGGTAGCAAGAAGCTAAAAGTACAGGTGCCAGCTATGCTAAAAGAGGTCCAGTGGCACCTAACGACTGCTCAATGCCGCGATCGCCTAATGGAGTGTTATCCAGCATTCCACAAAAGCCTCGACTGCTCGTAAGTCCGTGCCATTCAGTCTCGTTACTTTTATACGAAAGTTGGCTTATGGCTCGGATTGCGAATTGGATCGGCGCTGCAGACAAGGACAAGCCGCCATGTCCATTCAATATGAGGCCTCGTGTACGCCAAACATTCTTTCTCTTTGGAGAGGACCAAGATCGGAGCAGGTGGTGCGTCATCCGCGCTGATCCGCGCCTGCAAGGGGCAGAACAGATTGCTGACATGGAAGAGCGCTGGTGGGCCTCCTACAGTGTCGTGGGCGGTGAGTTGTCTGAGAGCGCATACTGCTTGATTTTTCGTTGAAGATTAATGTCCCTGCGCAGCATCATGGCATCAGCTCGTTTGCCACTGTGTAGGTATTTCGAGCTCCTGTCATTGCCCATTGTAACATATGTACTTGCGGTTTTGAAGAAAGAAGAATAGAAAGAAAAAAAAAGAAAATAACAAATATATAAGTGAACTTTTTGTCGTATTCGGCGGCTACCTGTGTTTTTTTAAAGATGACATATCTGACAGTTACAGTGCGTGACCTATCTCACTAAAAGTTGGCTGAAATTCTGAAATGCGTTTTCGATTAGGAAGGATTACTTGGCCTCGGTTGTGATACTGATTAACTTAAGGCATACTCTTATAACATTTTGGACTCGGCAGGATGTCGGCTTTTAAATGCACTTCTTTTCAATCTACTAGAGAAAGCGTGCTTGGTAAAAAATGACTACTTAAGTAGCATGCATTTTTCCCATTGATTTTCGATGGTCTTGGAAATTCAAATATATTTTATAGAAACCACAAACAAAAATGTGCTTTCTTTTTGTCAATCAATAGCGAATTAGGTCTTCTTTATATTTTATACTTAAGGAGGAAGTATAATTAGGTTTTTAAAAAGTTTTCTAATTGCCGAAACATTTGGAGCCTGATCATTCGTTGCATTAGCCCTTAGTGATTACACTCTACAAGGTGCATGCGTTCCGCGTAAAGCAAATCCCATATTTTTCTATGTCATTAAAGAGATATCATACATGGTCCGTGAAATTTTGCAATAGATGCGGACCATGTTGTACATTTCATGAGGAGCAGTGGTAAACGGCCAGGTACGATGCTATGTGAATAGACATATCGCGGTCTTAAAAAGTCTCATAATTAGAAGCTTTTTTAAAACCTAATTATAATCCTTCCTTAAGTATAAAATATAAAGAAGACATAATTCGCTATTGATTGACAAAAAGAAAGCACAATTTTGTTTGTGGTTTCTATAAAATATATTTGAATTTCCAAGACCATCGAAAATCAATGGGAAAAATGCATGCTACATAAGTAGTCATTTTTTTACCGAGCACGCTTTCTACAGGAGCTTGAAAAGAAGTGCATTTAAAGCCGACATGCTGCCGAGTCCGAAATGTTATAAGAGTATGCCTTAAGATAATCACTATCATAACCGCGACCAAGTAATCCTTCCCAATCGAAAACGCATTTCAGAATGTCAGCCAACATTTTATGAGATAGGTCACGCACTGTATTTTGTGCAAAGTCTCTTGACCTCAGCCGGATGCTTTATGCGTTACTTCTTCCATCTCCCCGGAAGAGAGCATTTTCGTTGTTGGAGGAGAGTGGGATGGTTCTACGCGTGTTGATGAGTTTCTGGTGAGAGAAGGGCGTTGGCGCCAGCGGGCACCCCTCGCTACTGAACGCCGGTGGCACGCAGCCGCAGTCATGAAGGCTCACGTCGCCGCCGCCGCCGCCGCCGACGGAGAGAAGGCTCTGATTGGCGTTTTCGGTGGATGGGGTGGAGAACGCCTCTCCTCTTGTGAACTCTATGACGTCAGTCAGAACAGGTGAGAAGACGCTTGTTGTGGCGCATCTTTTTTGCAAAATATTTTCCCTCTTCTTCTCACTCATCATCCGCTCTCCTCGGCCCGAACAGATGGCACAAATTGCCCGATATGCGGGAGAAGAGGGACGGTCCAGCTGCTGCCTGCCTGCCCGGCGATAGTCGGGTCTTCGTTTTTGGCGGTCGAGATGACCGCACCCCCGCGCTTGCTTCCGTGACGTTCTGCCATCTGCGAGCAGACTGGCGAGAGAGGGCGACCTTTGCACGCACCGAGGACTTTTGGCTGCCAGCAGCCCCCATGAGAACTTCTCGACGGGGGCTTGCAGCGACACCCCTTAGGGGAGCAATACTCGTCGCCGGGGGCTATGACGGACGAAGGACTGTTAACGCTGTGGAAATGTTTACGCCGCCAGATGCCAGGTGTCCGCTCGGCCAGTGGACAGCGCTGGCTGACATGAAGGAGCCCCGTTCATGGTTCACTCTTCTCGCCTCTGCCAACGCCGTTTTTGCTCTCGGTGGTAATGCAACACAATTAGATGAATCCTTTCTTTCTCCCCCTTCCTCTCTCCTTCATGCCATTCGATGCACTCACCAGCGTAGCCTATCTTGTAAGCTAGACAGCCTAAACCATCTGCATGTGACACTAGCTGTAAATGTAATTTGACGTGAGGTTGGAGGTCTTTCATGCGCACAGCTGTACCAAAGCCAGAAGTATTCGGTTCATCGTGAATACTTCCTACATTTCTGTCCGTTCTTTAGCAGCCTCACTGGGGGGGGGGGGTATTCGAAACCTCCTACTTCTTCATGTTGACAGACATCAATTCCGGTCTCTGTTCTCTGACATTATTTTTTAAATTTGCAGGCAGCGACATCGGACAGAAAAATACGGTCGAGGTTCTTACTGCACCAGGAGGTTCAGTTGACCTTGACAATGACTTGACGTCTTGGATATGGTCGTCCAAGGACTCAGTGAAAACGCTTAACTGGATTATTGGGGCCGCAAGCGTCCGCATGTAAACGTCTGCACTTAGTTATTTGGGATGTTAACATGAAGTCCCCTCCAATTCATGCACTTTAAAAATAAACGGCATGCAAACAAATCGGCTTTGCCATTTGTCATTTCGATGCACCAAAGGGGTGTGCGGTGTCCAACATATGGGATGACTGATTAAGGGTGAGTTTTGCTTAGCGGGGAATGGAATGGGTGTGTGCCACTCTGTGGACTAGGTGAACCAGTTAATGTTTACGAGGGAGATTCCCATTCACCAATGCAGTGCCCAACTTTAGTGAAATTGCCTAATTTGGTTATAATAGGAAACATTAAATTATAGGAACTACTACCCTTTTCAGAACTGTATATGTGCTAGGTAACATATATTATTGGACACAATGACTTCCGCGATATGGTTTAAGAGAATAAGTTTTGATCGCTAGGACGAGAGCAATGTTTGTCCAAATATTTCGGATATGTGCTGGACTCATAACCTCAGACAGGAAAAGATTGAGGCTGTGGACAGAGGTGTGTATGTAGATCGTAATTACTATGCAATCGCTTGGCGAATAAATGCAACGGCTCCCGCGTTCACGGTAGGTGTTTGCAGTCGTTTTAACCTTGAAAGTTTTCGTCCAAATCGTTAATTTTTTGCGATTTCAATGACAGCGTTATTGACTTTCCTTTACCGGGCCTGTTGCTAATACGGATGAACTAACTTTGCTGGGTAAACGGGAAGGTTAGTTACCTCGAAGATGACCGACCACAAGTTACCAATTAAGATAAATGTCGTCAACTCCTAATGATAAGCAAATTCACCCAAAATGCCCTAGTTAAGTCCGAAAGTAAACAAAGCCCACATATTCGCAAAAGGGATACAAATTTGTGGGGTGCTAATGACTTTCGCTTTTGAAGGTAGTCGTCATAGGTGATTCAGTGGGCAGTAAGGATAGAGTGTAGGGCCCCAAGAATTTACGGCACACAAAGAATGCCTACTATACTTGCTTAAGTAGGTTGTGCTTTATTCATTATTCCTCTAGGCATGGAGTTTGCTTTCGGATGTTTCATAACCTGCCATGACCTTAGCTCGGAGAGTTGAGAAGCGATTGTATCGGTTTGCTGGAATATCGCAGGCAGATGCCTTTGGTTAATCAATACTGCTGTGTGATCTCCAGCCTACCGTTGAGGTATTTCAGATGGCATCGTGTCGATTGGGTCGTTCATCGTATACCCTAGTTCATACCATTGGGACGCGATTGTTTGACTTCACTCCTTTGTCGTGGACATCACTCCTCGTCTTAACGTTACTTTCGTTTTTCGACTTTTACTATGAAAACCCAGTTGATCAGATATCGTTGGCATAGTGTTAATTGGCATTGCAATACTGTACACTAAATTTCAAGGCGATTGGCCCCCTCACATCCTTTGATTCATTCTCATTGGCCACACTTGCCCTGGATACCTTTCCTGATGTAAACTACTGACTGGCGGCTAACTTAAATTGGCTTATTCTTTGAACGCCATTTATTGTTTATTTCTTCAATTGTACCGCTTCACCTTCGTTGCTATATGTCAGTGTATAAAAAGTTTTACGGCACAAAATCAAATACCTCACATACTTTCCTTATTTTTTGCCTTCCGCCTGCCAACAGTACGCTCCACCCGAAAAACTCCTATTACCACCGTTCTCGTAAGACAGGTGCTCGTGGCTAGCCGCTGATACTTGGGGACCTTCATTCTATCCTTGTCCACTGGGCTTCATGGTACAGATTCGATATTTTACAAAAACGCCTCCCCCCAGTTTAATTATTCAATGGAGAACTTGTAGCTGCCCGCTCTCACGATCGTGAACTCCACCGTTTGCCCACATCGTCTCTGGCACCCGAAGCCAGCGTGACTCAACCACTGACCTGCAACGCGTGACGCTGATCGACATTTCCCTCTTCACTGATTGGCTGCAGTCAGGCGAAATTCAAGCGCGTGCACTTCGGCTGATACGCATCCGGTGATGATACTAGCTGCAGCCATTTGTGATACTGCCTCCACATTCTTGGTCTCAGTAAAAGACTTTCCAACTTACTATCTTCTCTGCCCTACAATTTGGGACACTCCAAGCGGTCGCCCGTCGCACTTCATCGGACTCTTGGTGACTTCGATTTAACTGGCTTGTCACCAAAGAAAAGGATGGTAGCGCCCCGTTAGCGCTTATTTCGGCTCACGCTAAGCTTTCCAACTTTTCCAGATAAGCCCCAAAATCGCCGAATTATCATGTTTAGATGAAAACGAAGATTCATTCTCACGAGGATTCCAATCTAACCTCTTCCGTGAGTTCACTAGGCTGCTCGGGTGTCCGCAAATCACAACCACAGCATATAACGCTGCCTCCAGCGGTCTCATGGAGCGTCTACAACATCAACTCAAGTCTGCACTTATGCCCCAAACAGAACCAGCTTTTTGGAGTGACAATCTCCCTCTTGTGCTTTTGGGTATCTGATCTTCTGTCAGGGAGGATATCCAGTGCAATTCCGCCGAACTTGTATACGGTACACCCCTCCATCTGCCCGGTGCATATGTGCAATCGTTCACGAAGAACACCAACATCTCGAGCACCTTCGTACAGCGGTTGATACAATCCATGGCTCATTTTTGTCCAACCCCCCACTCGTCTGACATCCAAACGTACGTTTGTGCATGGAAACCTTAAATATGCTCCATTCGTTTACGTCCGGCATGATGCGGTTCGCAGGCCTCTTTGTTCCCCGTATGATGGCCTATACGAGGTCCCTCAGCGGATGGACAAGTACTGCGTCGTTCAGAAAGCTGACAAAACTGACACAGTCTCCATTGATGGACTTAAAGCAGCCTATCA